TTTCTGTCCTATCGGTTTATCTATTCTTTTAGGTTCTCTACTGCTACTACGGTACGTGAGCATTGCATGCGTTTGGATGAAGTATGGCCAGATGAGTGGTGTACCAGGTTTGATGTGCTTCTTTCTTCCCCTTTGCCTTCGTTAGATGATTCTAGTCGGGATCAAGTTCTCTGGGGGGATGATCGTGTTTCATGCTCGGATTTCAAAGTTAGTAATGCTTGGGCCTCGTTGGAGGGTTCTTATCCGGTTGTACCTTGGTATAAATCGGTGTGGTTTTCCGGCCATATTCCTAAGCATGCTTTCTGTTTATGGCTTGCTTGTCACAAGCGTCTTCCTACTCAAGACCGTTTGCTTTGGAAGGATGAACCTCCTGACCTTGTGTGCTCACTTTGTGGTTAGAGTGAGGATAGCCATTCACATTTATTTTTCCAGTGTACTTTTGCTCGTGAAATATGGGATAGTATATTGCATATTGTGGACTTGAAGACTATGCCTTCTGTGTGGGAACAAATTGTGGATTMTATTTCCTATCGTCGTCCAAAGCGGTTAAAGCAGAAACCTGCGGTGGCGGCGTCTATCTATTTTATCTGGCAAGAACGTAATAGAAGACTTTTTACCGGGGAACGACGAATTGCCTTGCAGATTATCAAAGTTATTGATCAGACTATCGAAATTCGTGTGGCTTGGATGGAGCGAAGATTGTTGGGTAATGTTGGTTGATATGTTGTTTCGTTTTTGGGCTTGGGGAGCTTGTTTGTATTTCAAGCTCCTTTTCTTTATTTTTTGTTGTTTGTTTGAGTCGGTTGGGCTTTGTTCCTTTTGGCTTGAGGTGGCTTGGTATTGTGTGATGTCCAAGTCTTTTGGTTTCCTGTTTTAGTTGGGTGTGGTCGGATGTTGTTTCGTTGTACTTCTTTTTATGGTTTATAAATTTGCTTGGTTTACCCGTTTAGTATCATTATAACTCAATTAGACTGAAATAGGAGAAATAAGTCCATTATACGCATTAAGGTCTGATCAAACTAAATATGACCAAATTAGTGTCATTTTTAGTGAATTACACTCATGCAGAAATGGGCCTTTTAAACCCATTTTGGTCAAATCAAATTAGTTAATGACCCATTTGGTGTCACTTTAAACAAATTGACTCGATTAAAAGAAATAGGCATATTATACCCACTAAGGTCCAAATGGACCCATTAAGGACCCTTATGACCCATTCTCACTCAATTAGACAGATTAACATCTAGTTAGACTAATTATGACTCATTCAGTGTCATCTTGACCCAATAAGACTCCTTATTAAAAAATGGGACTAATTATGACCTAGTTAGTGTCATTTTGACCCAATAGGACTTCTCAAGGAGAAATGGGCCCATTATATCCACTAACACCAAATGGACTCATTAAGGACCATTAAGACCCATTCTACCTCAATTACTCTGATTAGACTAATTATGACCTGTTTAGTACCATTAAAACTCAATTAGACTCAAGTACAAGAAATAAACACATTATACCCACTAAGGTTGTGAGGAGCTGGACATCACTCATCTATGCTTTGCTGATGATTTATTTCTTTTTACTAAAGGTGATGTTCATTCGATGGAGGTTCTTAAAAAAGCTCTTTCTCTCTTTCAACAACATTCAGGTTTGGAACCTAGCCTTGAAAAGAGTGAAATTTATTTTGGTAATGTGCCCCATTCTATTAGAGAGGCCATTCTGGACTGTCTTCCATTTAAGCTTGGCTCTTTTCCTGTTCGTTATCTGGGAGTGCCATTATCTCATGCTCCTTTGAAAATTAGTGACTATAGACCTTTGATTGCTAAGGTTAAAGGTCGTATTTTTAATTGGAAGTCTACGTTTCTCTCCTTCGGAGGACGTAGGCAACTTATTATAGCGGTCCTACAATCGTTACAGTTGCATTGGCTGTCTGTTTTCCTTTTCCGTCGGGTGTCATTCATTATATAGGATCGATATTCCGGAAATTTTTATGGGCACCAAGGGATGATCCTCGTGGGCGGTGTAGATTATCTTGGGATGTGGTGTGTCGTCCTCTTGAATCGGGGGGTCTTGGTATCAAACGGTTGGCGACTTGGAACAGGGCTTTACTTGCTAAACATGTTCGGGATATTGTTCACCATCATAATTCTTTGTGGGTTCGGTGGATTTATAGTCATAATCTTAGAACCAATCACTTCTGGTTGGTACGGAAAAATTCGACTTGGTCRTGGGTTTTCCGTAAATTATTAGACATAAGACTTCATTTGCGACAGTATTTTGTATCTCAAATTGGTGATGGGAGGGATACTAATGCGTGGGATGATTCTTGGCTTCCTTGTGGTCCTCTTTCGGCTTTTATGACTTATCGGTTTATCTATTCTTGTGGTTTTTCTCCTGCTACTACGGTTCGTGAGCTTGTCATGAGATTGAATGGAGTTTGGCCTGATGATTGGTGTGCCAGGTTTGATGTGCTTAATTCTTCTCCTTTGCCTTTATTAAATGATTCTATTCGGGATCATGTTCTTTGGGGGGTTGATGTTACTTCTTGTTCGAGATTTGAAGTTAGAAATGCTTGGGCATCGTTGGATGGGTCTTATCTGGTTGTACCTTGGTATAAATCGGTGGTTTGCTGGTCATATTCCTAAACATGCTTTTTGTTTATGGCTTGCTTGCCAGAGACGTCTTCCTACTCAAGACCGTTTACTTTGGAAGGATGAACCTCCTGACCTAGAGTGCTCGCTTTGTGGTCAGAGTRTGGATAGCCATGCACATTTATTTTTCCAGTGTACTTTGCTCGTGAAATTTCGGACAACGTCTTGCGTATTGTTAATTTGACTACTATGATTATGTGTGGGATCAAATTTTGGAAGCTCTTTCGGATTCTACTCATCGTCCAAAGCGGTTAAAGCAAAAACTTGCGGTAGCGGCTTCTGTCTATTTCATTTGGCAGGAACGGAATCGAAGACTTTTTACTGGGGATCGTCGGAATGCCATGCAGATTATTCAAGCCATTGTTCAGATTCTTGAAATTCGTGTGGCTTGGATGGAGAAAAGATTGATGGGTAATACTGGTTGATTTTATGGGTTCTTGCTGGGTTTGGGGAGCTTTTGTGCTTCTTAAGCTCCTTTTCTTTATTTTTAGTTGTTTGTTTGAGTCGGTTGGGCTTTGTTTGTTTTGGCTTCTGGTAGTGGTCTGTTAATTGGTTGTCTTGTTGTACTTTATTTTTATGGTTTATAAAATTTGTCTGGTTTCCGTTCAAAAAAAAAGGTCTAATCAAATTAAAATGATCAAATTAGTGTCATTTGTGAGTCATTAAATGGAAAAACGGGCCTAAAACCCCATTAGGGTCTAATCAGATTAGTTGTGACCCATTTACTGTCATTTTGAACAAATTGACTCGAATAAAAGAAACAGCCCCTGTTATACCCATTAAGGTCCAAATGGACCCATTACGGATCCTTCAGAATCATTCTAACTCATGTAGACACATTAACGTCTAGTTAGACTAAATATGACCCATTTAGTGTCATTTTGACCCAATTAGGCTCCTTATGAAGAAAATAGGCCAATTAAACCGCTTAGGAGCTAATGAGACTAATTATGACCTAGTAAGTGTCGTTTCGACCCAAATTGACTTATTAAGGAGAAATGGGCACATTATATCCACCAACACAAAATGGACTCATTGTACCTCAATTACTCCCATTTACCTCTAATTAGACTAATTTTGACCCATTTAGTACCATTATAACTCAATTAGACTCAAGTAGGAGAAATAATCTCATTATACCCATTAAGGCCTGATCAAACTAGGGTTTCTCTTTAGTCTTGTTGCTGACTGTTTCCTTTACGGCATCATCTAGGGTTTTCGATCCTGGTTGGTCGCCCTCTACCGTTTGGTCCCTGGGTTTTGGTCTCATGACTGGATCCTGTTTCTTCTCACGACGGTTCCTGGTAAGATCGTTCCCTTTGTGTGTTGTTCCTGGTTCGCTTCTAGTTGCTGCACTTATTTTAACGGCTAGGGTTCCCACCTTTGCCGTTCGTTTATTGCCAAAAGTCATACTAGGGTTTTTGGCATTCATTTGGAAGGTTACTATTGCTTTTGTTTATTGCTCCCTGACTGTTTCATTCGGTTTTGGCTGCTCTTGTGATACCGGTTTGTGCTTTTTATGATTTTATGTGCGACTGTGTTTTGATTCTTGAAGCGTTTACAAGGTGGTATCTAGGATTTTTGTTTGAGTGCGCTGTTGGCTTGGGGCTGTGATTTTATGTGGGTATTACTGCTTCACGATTATAGTATTCGACCTGCTGGATTGATTTGTTGTGCTAGTTGCTTTCGCCTGTTGTGGGAGAATTTTTAAACAACTATTTGTGCTGCTGTTTGTTCTGTCTCGCTTAAGCTGATCTYCGTTCACGATTATAGTCTGTCCCGGTTTGTTTCTGTTGCCCTGGGCTGCTGTTTGTTTCTTTCGTTGCTGCTGTTTGGTTGTGGGACTGTTGCTGTTGTGCTCAAGCTGTTCTCACGTTTGGACTGCTCTTGTTGTGATTCTTGTTACCTACTGTTGGTTTGTTTGGTTGGCACTGCTGCTGGGTTCTTAGTGTGCTGGCTTCTGGTTGGTTAGCTAATCTGTTACCTGCTGCTGTCCATTAGTAGCTGTTCGTTGCTGATTGGTTTGTGATTTTATGTGATCTTTGGTGCTGGCTTAAGTCTCGGTTTGCGTTTTGCTCCATTAGTAGTTGTTCGTTGCTGCTGTTTTGATCTTTTGGAAAGCCGTGAGTTCTTGCTTCTGCTGGTACGTCTCTCTCCGTGGGTTTGAATTCGTCTTGGGTTTGATTTTATCTTTTTAATTCCCATTTGTGCCGGTTAAGTGTTTCTGTGGTCTTCGTTGTTTTCTGAGAGTATTCCTAGTGGTTATTCAGCACCTCCTTACGGGGTCTTCGTCTAATTCACTTGGGTACTTAACGAGAACTTCAGCACCACGGCTTCTTAGCTTGTGTAATGGGATCTGTTGATGATAATCATCCCTCAGACCCAAATAGGGTTTCGGTTTTTGAACATCTTTCTTCTGTGGAGCAAAATTTGGATGGAAATCGGTCTAATGGTTTGGGAAGTGGGGGCCGCACAAATCTTAACTTTGCTAAAGCGGTTGGCCGTTCTGTGGCCACGGATCTGAATTTTTATCCTCTCGCGGACAAAAAGCAGGTTAGTGTCACTATCCCAATTGAAATGGCGAAGGAAGCTGCAAAAGCTTATTATTCAGTTTTATATGGTTATTTCTTGGGACCTCGTATCCCATTTCCTCTTGTGAAAAATTTCGTTAAAATGGCTTGGGGAAAGTTTGGATTTTTGGACGCGATGCTTAACGAGAATGGTATTTTTTTTTCCTTTAAATTTAATGATGTAGGTGGATGCGATCAGGTGATTGAGGCCGGCCCGTTGATGATTAGAGGTGTATCTTTATTTGTCCATCGTTGGGATCCATCCAAGGGCTTAAAGAAACCGGAACATTCTTCATGTCCATTGTGGGTGAAACTTCATAACATTCCCTTAGTTGCTTTCAATAAAGAGGGTGTTAGTCGTATTGCGAGCTTGGGTGTACCAAAGCAGATGGATTCATGCACTGCAACTATGTGTGAAAAGGCTTGGGGCAGGCCTGGGTTTGCCAAAGTTTTAGTTGAGGTTTGGGCTGTGGGAGAACTAAAAAGGAAAATTGAGGTCGAAATACCAAATATAAATGGTGGGGATGCCGAAAATGTGCAAATTCAGGTTGAATATTTATGGGAGCCGGTTCAATGTTCCCATTGTCAAATCTTTGGACACAAACTTTCATCTTGTGCTAAAGCCGCTAGTCTGAATAAAGGTAAGCAAATTGATGGGCGTAAAGATGCTGATGGGTTTACAAGAGTGGAGAAAAAGCAATGGCGGGTCAAAGTTGGAGGTAGATCCAATCAATCTAATGCTAGGCAGGATAATGGAAGAAAGGAGACTGGTCCTCATGAGATGTCCTTGGAAGAGCATTCCGTAAGCAAAGATCTGGAAAAGGAAGGGAATACGGTAACCACTAATGTTGCGTCGGTTGATCCTCATATAAAAGAGGTGAGGAACGCTTTGGGTGATTCAAGTACGAATGTAAATTCCGGGGCCTCCTCTTCACAGTCTACGATCCATTCTATGTCTACTTCTACCCCACTCCTTTCGTCTGTGATAAAAAATTTCCGGTTGCCTCGAAGGGGGGTTATGATAAACCCCGTCGAAGCTTCAAATCGGTTTGGTGTTCTTGAGAAATTAGGGGAAGAGATTCCTCGGGTGGACTCTCATGAAGATGTTGTAAATGGTGTGCAAAATCTTGATCGGGATATTCGTGATAATCGGGTGCAAGGGGAAATTCCAACCTCTTCCTCATGTTGAACTTCGCTTCATAGAATATCCGGGGGCTCAACTCTCCGGTTAAACAAAAAGAGGTGAGGAATTTCATTCATTGTAATGATGTGTGTTTGTGTGCCATTGTCGAATCGCATGTTTCTAAGGACTCCCTAGAAAGTGTTTGCTATAATTCTTTTGGCCAGTGGTATTGGTTATCTAATCAAGCTATGAGTGAGTATGGCACGCGTATAATCCTTGCCTAGGATTCACAAGTTTTAGATGTTATGGTCTTAGAGGCTCATAGTCAAATACTTAAATTGTAAGGTTCTAGTTAGGGGAAGCCAAGATTATATCTTCATCTCTTTGGTTTATGGGGCTAATGTGTGTAATGCCAGAAGAGAATTATGGTCGGGGCTGCGGAAATTTAAAGTTCTGATTGGTTCTTCTCCGTGGGTTGTAATGGGGGATTTCAACACTATGTTATTTCCTCATGATGGTTTTGGTGGGTCCTCTCGTCGTAACTTGGATATGTCTGATTTTTATGCGTGCATAGAGGATGTGGAAATATTTGATTTACACTATACTGGTGTCCATTTCACGTGGAACCAAAAGCCGAACTCTTCGGGGGTATCATGCGTAAACTGGATAGAGCTATGGGAAATGCAGAGTTTACATCTGTTTTCCAAGATGCTAGTGTTCATTTTCATCCGTCGGGCCTTTCGGATCATTCTCCAGTGACCTTATCTTTCAAATGCGGTACTCGGAAAAGGAGGTATGGTTTTAAATTTGACAATTTCATGACTGAACATCCAGCTTTTCTACAAGTTGTTAAGTATGAATGGGCCAACTATATTGAGGGCACTTTTATGTTTCGAGTGACTTCTCACTTGAAGGCTCTGAAGATTCCTCTACAGAAACTTCGCAATTCCTATGGCAACCATCGTAAGCGTGTATCTTTTTTGAAAACTGAACTTGATCGCATCCAACTGGATGTAGATAATGACCCTTCTAATGACGAGTTAGGTCTAGAGCTTGGTCATATTCGTATTGCGTATCAGAATGCTTGTCGGGATGAGAATTGTGCCGCTAAACAACGAGCCAAAATTAAATGGTTGAATGAAGGTGACTTGAATACCAAATTCTTCCATAAGGTGATCAAAGAGCGGCATCACTCCAATTCCATTCAGTCTGTCTGCACGAGTGGTGGAGTGTACGTCTATGGTGATGATGTGCCTAAAGTGTTTGTGGATTATTTAAAAGATTTTCTAGGTATGAGGTATGTTTCCCCTGATCCGACTATGCCTGATGATGTTTTCATGAGAAAGCTCACTTTATCGGAAGCTAACCACATGATCCGTCCGATTCAAAATGAAGAAATTAAAAATGCTATATTTAGCATTGGTAATTATAAAGCGCTAGGTTCTGATGGATTTTCCTCTAAGTTTTTCAAAGCGTCTAGGGACATCGTTGGCCGTGATGTGGAGATTGCAATCCACAACTTCTTTTATCGAGGTAACCTCCCGAAGAATTTGAATCATACTCTTATCTGTCTTCTCCCTAAATCTGTTAATGCTTCTATGGTTACGGATTACCGGCCTATAGCTTGCTGTACAGTGCTTGATAAATGCATTAGTAAAGTCATTGTAAACAGAATGAAGGGCTCTTTGGATTCCTTAATTGATAAAGCCCAATCGGCTTTTATTCCGGGTAGGAGGATTACGGATAATATTCTTATGGCGCATGAACTTGTTTCTGGTTACCAGTCCACCACGGGTCCGCCTAGATGTGCGTTCAAAATAGATATAAAAAAAGCTTATGATACGGTGGACTGGCGATTCCTAATTGTTATGCTTCAAGGATTGGGATTCCATCCTGTGATGGTTAGGTGGATAAAGGAAATGGTTTCTACTACTTCTTATTCACTTGCCATCAATGGTAATTCCTATGGGTTCTTTCTTGGTGGGCGGGGTCTTCGACAGGGCGATCCTTTATCCCCATATCTGTTCACGATTGTAATGGAGGGTTTTTCTATGCTTCTTAAACATTGTATTCGTGAGGCTGTTGACTTCGGGTACCATCGGGGTTGTGAGGAGCTGGATTTGACACCTTTATGTTTTGCGGATGATTTGTTTGTCTTTACCAAAGGGGATGTTCTTTCTGTTGAAGTACTTAAAAGGCACTATTTCTTTTTCAGAATCGTTCGGGATTAGCGCCTAGCATTGAAAAAAGCGACATTTATTTTGGTAATGTGCCTCCCAACATTAAGGAGGCCATTCTAGAGTGTCTTCCTTTGAAGCTAGGTACTTTTCCTGTCCGATATTTGGGTGTCCCTTTATCGCAGGCTCGGTTGAAGATATGTGACTATGCTCCGTTGATTGCTAAAGTGAAGGGTCGCATTCTTAATTGGAAATCAAAGTTTCTTTCGTTTGGAGGACGGCGTCAGCTAATTATATCGGTTCTTCAATCACTTCAACTTCATTGGATGTCGGTCTTCTTATTCCCGTCTGGATTAATCCATGATCTAGAATCTATTTTTAGGAAATTCCTTTGGGCTCCAAGGGATGATCCTCGTGGTAGATGTCGGTTATCTTGGGATGTGGTCTGTCAACCGCTTGAATCTGGGGGACTTGGGATTAAGCGATTATCCACTTGGAATAGGGCTTTACATGCAAAACATGTGTGGGATATAGTAAGACACCATGATTCTATGTGGGTTCGTTGGATTTATAGTAATAATCTCCGCTCATCGAACTTCTGGCTGGTTCGGAAGAACTCAAATTGGTCATGGGTATTTCATAAAATTTTAGACTTGCGTAGTCAATTGAGACGGTTCCTATTTTCCCAAATTGGTGATGGTCGGGATACGAATGCTTAGGAGGATGCTTGGTTAACCTGTGGTCCTCTTTCAGCTTTTATCTCTTACCGGTTTGTCCATTCATGTGGGTTCTCTACTTTAACGACGGTTCGCGAACTGCTTATGTGCAGGAATGGTGCTTGGCCAGATGATTGGTGTAGCAGGTTTACTGAGCTTTATACTTCTCCGTTACCTTTGTTGACTGATTCTGTTCCAGATAGAGTTCTTTGGGGGGAAGATCGCAATGCTTGTTCGGATTTTACGGTGAGTAATGCTTGGGCTTCATTAGAGGGAACTCATCCAGTGGTCCCTTGGTACAAATCGGTATGGTTCTCAGGCCATATCCCGAAGCATGCATTCTGTTTATGGCAGGCTTGTCAGAGGAGACTTCCTACTCAAGATCGTTTACTATGGAAGGATGAACCACCGGATCTGGAGTGCTCGCTTTGTGGTCAATGTATGGATAGCCATGACCATTTATTCTTTCAATGTTCGTATGCTCGAGAAGTATGGACTAGCATCTTGCACATTACGGACCTGATTGATATGCCGTCTATGTGGGATCATATTTTAGAAGCAATCTCGGATTCTAGTCGACGTCTGAAATATTTAAAGCAAAAGCTTGCGGTGGCAGCGACTGTTTATTATATTTGGCAAGAACAAAATAGAAGACTCTTTACTGAGGATCGCCGCACGACTCTGCAACTTATCAAAGTTATTCATGATTCTATCTCCATTCGTGCAGATTGGTTGGCGCATCGTCCTGTGCTTAATCCTGGTTGATATGAAGAACTGTTTTTGGTTTTGGGGGGCTTTGGTGTGGTTTAAGCTCCTCTTTTTTATGTTTTGTTGTGAGTTTGCTTCTATTGGGCTTTGTTTCTTTTGGCTTGTTGTGGCTTGGTATGGGGTGTTGTCCAAGTCTGTGGGGTTTTGGGTGTAGGTTGCGGTCTGTCCGTTTTCGTTGTACTTCTCTTTAATTGATTTATAAATTTGCCTGGCTTCCTTTAAAAAAAAGGTCTGATCAAATTAAAATGACCAAATTAGTGTCATTTTTGAGACATTAAATGGAAAAACGGGCCTAAAACCCCATTAGGGTCTAATCAGATTAGTTGCGACCCATTTAGTGTCATTTTGAACAAATTGACTCGACTAAAAGAAACAGGCCCTGTTATACCCATTAAGGTCCAAATGGACCCATTACGGATCCTTCAGAATCATTCTAACTCATGTACTCACATTAACGTCTAGTTAGACTAAATATGACCCATTTAGTGTCATTTTGAAACGCACAATCACTTATTTTTCGAATGCAATTACTCAAGTAGTATTTGGGAAGTCATTAAAAAGGAGGTGGGATTAACGAACTGTCCGAACAATTGGGAGGATATTCTTAACAGGGGTTTAGCTCAAAGATGGAAATCTTGGTCTACGGTTCAAAAACTTGGTATATCGGCCACGGTATACCATATCTGGAGGGAAAGAAACAGGAAGTTTTTTGACAACTTTAATCATTCTGGGGACAAAGTTGTAGCGGAGATCAAGATGCAGATTCTTCAACKTATGGCTTGGAAGACAAGAAAGAAGCTGACGCCAACAAATGTTGTGTGATTTCGTGGGTGGAGTGCCTTCTCGGTTTGGGAAATTGTGGGTTTTTTTTGCCTTTTTCTCTTTGGCTTGCGTTATTTTTATGTTTTGGTATTCTTCTCTTTGTCATTTTTGGCTCCTAATGGCTTGGTTTGTGAGTCAAAGTTGCCGTAGTTTTTCTTGCTGATTGCTTTGTAACGGTTCCGCTTTTATTGGTTTTATAAAATTGCCTGGGGATCTTTCCCCTTTCAGTGGTGTCATTTTGACAACGAAGACAACGAAGACGCTTACGAGAATCAAAGATGCATGATCATGAGGTTGGTGAAGAAATTCGTTTCTGGGAGTTTTTGGGGTTTTGCCCTTTCTATACTTTGGTATGTTTTACTTTTCTTTTTTGGTGCATTTCCCTTTGTTTATTTTGGCTTCTTATGGCTTGGTTTGTGAGTGAAAGTTGCCGTAGCTCTTCTTGTTGATTTGTACTCTATTTACAAGCTTTTACTTGCATTATAAAATTGCCTGGGGAGTTTTCCCCTTTCAGTAGTGTCATTTTGACCCAATTAGGCTCCTTATGAAAATTGGGTAGGGTTTGACTTTTTCTCTCAAGGAA